TATGCTCCATTAGATGTAACAGGCCTAAGTAAGTAAGTACAATATGCCATCCCGTAAAATAGTTGAACTCGCATGGATTATTTTGGAGAATTAAATTTAATGAACGACATATGTAAGGCCATTCGTGACGAGTAGCAATGATCTAAATGCATCCAGAATAAAATATGAAGTATAGCAATTAATTCTGGGGTGCTGGGTGCTGTTAACCTTTTCGTCACTCACTCAAGTCACAACAGTTGAATGTTCGGAAGGAGAGATATGAAAGGATAGTGCATAGTTGAAGACAGAATGAGGCGTTAAGTGAAGGAACCAGTTGAAGAATTAGATCCAGATAACTATTTAGTCCTTGCTTATGTTGCTAGTCAATATGTATTCAGGTTATTAACAGGTCATATTTGCTCGGGCCTGATGTTTATTGGTGTCGATTGGGTTAGTATGTTATGAATATTAATCAGTGTGACATTACACTAACACACGTGAGCAGTAATCAAGGGACTAATAGAATACAGGTTTAACATAAGTAAAAATCGATCGCGAAAGTTAAAGTGAGAATAAGGATTAATAGTAATAGGTTGAGTTTCTTTAGTCGGGCTTACCAGTGTGGATTTATGGTCTATTTCGTTATTAGTACTGCTCTAATAATAGACCTAATCCAAAAATTGTAGACTTATCGTGATATAACTGTCTAATCTATAAGATCTTAAGTGGATGTCACATCATCGTCTAAACCAACTCATCCCATCGTAACAATCACCAAAACATGATGGAGAACAACCTTAGGCAAGTGGAAGAACAATATATTTAATATGAATAAAAGATATAAGATAACATTCAACAGGGACCACGCCTGCATGACCGAGCCATGCCAATCGGTCAACTCCAATTCATTCAATTCATTCATCCCGCCTTCCCCATCGTTGGGTTTTACTCCAAGTTAAATGTTGAATATCTATTTCATCGATTTTCTGGTGTTCAGCTCTGATGAATGTGTGGTTAGGGCACAATGCCACTACATTTCAATCGGTTCGTAACTACCGAAACGCCATAGAATAATAAGCAGCTTGGCTCCTTTTAAGTATGGAGTTTAACCCTCTCATCTGGTAATGGATTGGGTAGATTGGAAATATATCTGGAATGCACAGTGCTCTATCGCGATGATGTATATGTGATTTTTATCTTTGTACAGAGCTTACTCAATTCAAACGACGATCATTGAAGTAGTGTGCAGAGTATTATTTTCAATCTGACGACTGTCATCATACTCTATAGTGTTTGCAATGAGAGACGTTTTAGCACATCATAAGGACGTCTGCTCCTGTGTAAATTGTTGGTTTACTGACCATGTAAACATTCTTCACTCTACACTGGGATGGCTGCAAACTAAACAATTATCACGAAACAATTGAAGATGTAATTTGTAGGCTATCAATATCTCGAGAAGAATTTGATCCAAGTTGGCTGACAGTTGTAGGAGATGCGCAGCACGGCTTACCCATTCGTAATATGATGCGGATGCGTAACCGAGCGCTTCATGCCAGATGATTCTAGTAAGACCAATGCGGTCAATGTCAAGTGTCGAAGACTTACAGAACTATTTATTTCGGAGTTTATTTACTGCTGCAGAGTGATATTATGCATGGTGTTCTTTTCACTTTCCATATAAAAAATACTATTTTATTATTACAGTCACAATACGAATAGGGATATTTTAAATTTCAACTCGTCAGTAACTAAGCATATGACTCATGTATGCTCTCTTTGTCTCTAAAATACTTGAATAGGATGTCTATACGTGGTTTGTACTCGATAAGATCAGTAAGTATCTGCATTTTACACACAGATATATTGAAACTGACTCTTATAAATAACATTCGGACTGTAATCAGAACGTGAATCATTTAAGACATATTGCGTACACGGACAAGCGAATTCAAAGGAAGTGTTTGGTGCACGAATACAAACAACAATTTTCATGTGGTCATCAATACTGTATTTAGATTTGAACTCACTGAGAGCTTGTGCCAGTTAACCGATAAAATCCCCCGTAAGCCAAATATCAGAAGGCAGTTGATGGCTGTAGTCGAGATGTATTTGTTGGCGATTTCATTGTATCGAAAGAATACCGAGATCGTGACAACAGGAGTACAAGCGTGGTTACCGAGCGTAACCGAACCTGTGCAAAGTCACGATCAATCGAGTAGTAATAATATGGCTGTCTTTAGCACAGTTAAACAATCACTGGTACAATTGGTTATAATAACAATTGTTTCCATTAAATCAATCGCGTTGTCTTGATAAAAGTAGGTCACTACACATCTTATGTATCGCTACAACTATAATCAGTTGGTTGAAGTTTCAACTTCATGGTACGTAAACTTGTTCTTCGTTTAAATGATTGCATTATTACAAATGTCGAACGTGTCATTTACCTTCAAGGTAAATTTGAGAAGACTAACGTACCGCTACCGCAAGCATCACGACTTGTAGATGTTTCAGAAATGAATCATTTCGATGCAAGTAACTCTTGACTATAAACAGTTCGGTTTTGGGTAGAGAAACCCCAGATATTCCCACACGCTGGCTTTTTAAATATCGCCATGAAATTGAATTTTTTCGGTACAATCATGTTCTTTGAACTTACATTAATATTGTGGACGACCATCATGGTATTGTGAACATTCCAACTATCGTATCTCACAGTGTCATAATAGAGAGACGGAAACCTCTACTAATATATTTCCAGTTTTGACATCTGTCCCTAGTCAATTACATTCGCCAATATCCCACTTAGAACCTTTTGATCAAATGGACAACAAAGATACGTCGGTGATGGTTCTATATTTTGATTTTAGTAAGACCCTCGATAGTCTCACACAACCCCCATGAAATGTCCTCATTTGATGTGTGAGACCTCCTGTTATTCTGGTCCAAACCTCTGTAACAGAACGTAGGCAAATCGTGCGCTTTGAATCTCGGTACTCTAAGCCTATAAAGGAAATATGGTTGCCCCGTTACTCTTCCTTTTTTGATAATAACGTGTGCTAACTCTCTTGATACGACAGACATTTTCTTTTTGTTGATGTGGCTTATTTATGCTCGACTTCCACCAAAGATAGCAATGTTTCGGCGGTAATCTCAGGAGCCATTAAAGAATTGTGAGAATGGTCTGCTGTGGAGCCTGTCAGTGAATGTTCACAAAAATTTAGTCATCTAAATCGACCGCAGCCCTTAACTTAATATGGTTCTACACAAAGACGTGCCGAAATTCCCCAACGTTGTTCGTGATTTGTAGGTATGGCATAGCGACTTTTCTGAGCGCAGAGCAACCCAAATATCAAAAGCAAGAAAGCTCATATGATGAACTTATTTAACACTGAATCTAGATTTTCACATGGAAATGCATCAAACCCATCCTTGAATATGTTGCCCTAGTCTACAGTAATTAAAGGTATAACGATTTATTGAAAATTGAGGGTGTTTGAAGAGGATTCAGAGGAGATTCTTTGGAGCGTTCCGCTAATATAGATCACCACGGAAGCTGTGGTAAGCTAAAGTTTTTAACCTCTTTGGATTAGGCGAATTACAGTTAACTTGATCGTTTTTTACCGACTTATAAATGGGATTTCCTACTCTTCGGCATTCACTCCCTTCGTACCCGATGATATGATTCCACAACCTGAACACTAAGGAAAATATTATATCGATCCTGACGACCTAAATAAAATTTCTTCGTAATTTGCTAAACTCTCTTGTGAAATATTACCAATGATTTATGCAGGTTTCTATTTAATTGACTGTGAAGCGAAGCGGAACCTTCGAACTTTTCGTCCGCTTATGTTCTTATTTGTTATCATTATGATTGACACACTGAAGATATTTTAATCTTCCAGAATTCTTAATTGGCGAAACATGAAACCTCGTATTACACTTACTTAAATGAATCGACTTCTTAGATTCGTTTTACTTTTGCCACATATTTAAGACCCCTAAAGATCGATATCTGATGATCTTTTACTATTAATTAAAACTCTTATCTTCATATTTTAAACTGTTACTGCTTAAACTCTTATTGTACTGTCAAGTCTTAGCACAATGGTGGTGTATTTTAAAGTCTATGTGTAATACATATAATACTACTTATTACGATTCACTTTCACAAAGATTTATTAAAACAATATGACATGAAGTCAATAAACATCTGAAGATTGCAGAACGAAGTAAGATATCGTAGATATTATGTAAACACTGTTGAAATTCTTGTGTATGAATGCATTTATAACAAAACCCGAAGAGGTTCTTTCACAACACTTATGCGTAAGTTTTGCAGTTGATAATTATTATAATGAGCATAAACTAAACACACTCTCAACATTTCAGCCTTTTAATCCAATGACTAATTACAAAACACTGGGTAGAAATAACTTTCATCAGATTTCCCTGAACAGCTGTAGTGACCTACTTTTATCAAGAGAATGCGATTGATTCAATGGAAACAATTATTATTATAACCAATTGTACCAGGGATTGTTTTACCGTACTTGTTTGTTTGTCTGTATAAAATACATACATTCTTTTGTTGGTTGTGACCTTTCACGAATTCGGTTACGCTCAGTAACCACACTTGTAACCTGGCACGATCTCGGTATTCTGTCGATAACACGAGATCGCCACAACAGCTTTGAAATGGTCTATGGTTCAATAAAATAGTATCTCCGTTTCTATGTAGCCATCACGCGACATATTGAATGATATGAACAAGATACTAATAATAACTGTTCTAGATGTCAATGGGACTTATTTTTTTCAACATAGGTGAATTAAGGGCAAACCTGATCGAGAAAAACTAGATATACATCAAGTTAATGAATTGTTTCAAATCGAAAAGAAACTGGTTTTTCATCATTGTAATCCATGAAGAGAGAACGAATTTACTTTTTATCCTCACTTTCCCATTAGGACACTAGGTGTTAATTTATTGATTATTGTTTATTAGTTGTTATACAATTTGATGAAGAAGGTCACTGGTCTTAAAACAAATATGGACAAACTAATCAACTAACAAACTAGATAGTACAACTAATTTTGTAGTAACGGCCTGATCACACAAACCCAAACACAAATCAAGAACATATTCTTTTCTTTTTGGAAGCACAACAGAATCGGAAGTCAACTAACAAAATACAGCTCCTAAACAACACAGTAACTTGACACAAATGAATGATAGTAAAACAAAGGTATAATATTTAGTGTTTTTGATGTATTTGGTAATGAAATTTAAAAGCAAATTGTTGAACATCTGGGAGTATCGTATATTGAAGCAAGATATTAAAATACACTATGGATGGATGTTAAGATGAACAAGAAACACGTAGTTTACGAGACCAATCAGGAGGACGATATTTAATCCGGGATACAAGATGAAAAGACTACAAAAAAGAAAGATATCTTCCGAAAGTAAAATAATACCGCGTTATATAAATGTACATGATTTGGTAATATTTGTAAAATTTCAAATGATATGGCTAGTAAATAAATCTATTTAGCTATGGGATGACAGAGACTTATGTTTCACGATCATAATTTAATAGACGGTGGAGTTCAGGTTGTAGTAGTTTAATTGCAGAATTTTAGTTGTCAATCAGGATAATCAACGGCTAGTTTAAATAGAACTAAACACTCAAAGATTATTCTACAAGTGGAAAATCGACCAATTGAAACGTTAGGTGATATAACCAGTAACCAATAGCAACAATGCAGATACATTCACTACTTTGTCTTCTCTTAGATCCAGAGTTTCGAAACAATTTTATACCTTCTAGTGAATTTATTATTGCCTCTCATAAATCATTGTTTATGTCAAATGTATTTTTACTGTTACAGACACTAAAACTACTATTGTCCTAATGTTCTTCGTGATGCAGAGTTACATACTGACTACTGCTAAACATACAACGTCAAAATACAGCACATTCGATATCGAGTCATTTAAACACTAGTGACAACATTGCGAACTAGTTTAAAAATAACTTGATTCGCACTAAGAGCCAGGAAAAATTGACATTGGTTTTTACCGTGATCAATTGAAATCAATGGTATTTTGATGAATGGATGAAAAATTCGATTAAAAACAAGTAAACGTAAATTGGCATCTTTACTACTCACCTCGTTATTCAAAGACATATCAGGATTTTTAAAAGGTGTGGTCAATGAGTTGAATAATTGTTGTGCAACTGTATAATCTCCTTTATCAGCTGATTTAATAGCTTCTTCGGCAAGATAATTACGTAGAACTACTCGAGGATTTACAGACTGCATTAAATTTAAACGTTCAGAGAATTGTGTTTTGGTATTATCATGATTCCCTTCGAAATCTATTTTTAAACGTACTTCGTATGCTTGTAACCACATAGACCATAGACGTTTATTTCTCTCTTGGTATTCTTCTTCTGTCATATGCTAAATAGAAGATAAAAAAAACACTACTTCGTAAAATATTCTATGTATCACAAAATGACTGTGTACAGTTCACGTCAACATTAAGTAGTGTGTATTACAGTCAGCGGACAACTAAAGGGCTGTCTTATTGAAACAACCACATTTCAGATGACGATAGTCATAAAAAATACACATAGTTATTCCACTATACAAGTATAAAAGTAGATATATTGTCAAAGTAGCACTTACCCCATCGGATGCCGGCGACCATACCACAATGGTGTCGGTGTATACGCTCTCTGTCTTCCCTTAAGCTAAGAGATTAAAATCGCTTCATTTCATTCTTTCTACGAACTAATTCTTTCTTCCTGTACTATATCCTTATTGCAATCTTTCTTTTATATATTACCCCAACTGAATTAACCACTTTATGAATCCAGTGTTCATCTTGTTGTGTTAATGAGTTATGGCAACTTGGACCGATGCATATATGTGCCCGGTCCTACGTTGTAGCTGACTGACTGGCCTTATCGGATTGTAAAAGAAAAAAAATAATGAAGGTACACTATGTGTTTTTTGTTATGACTGTATTTGTTTAAACTTATAAATGAGTTATTATCACTTTCTATTGTTCTGATGATAAATAAGTTTTTTAAATCACACGTCCATACTTTACCTACTACATAGGAGTGTAAAAACTTTAACTGAATGTCCAACAGTTTTTTATTTATTTTTATAATGGGCAACTTAAGTCAATAATTGCTTGGTTTGAAGCTATCACAAATTCACTTAATCTGCGAACGAGAAACAAGACTCGGTGACCAAAGACCAGTAAGCTAGCTATTGATACGTCTCAGCCCCGCTAACTAGAGGGAGAAGTCCAAGCTTGGAATGGAAAGTATATTCTGCAAAAAAACAGAAACGAGCAGTAACAACAAACACAATTCAAACCTATATATACAGTGCAAAACCGTCCATGAGGACAATTACCAAATACCATACTAAATGACACAACGGACCAATAGCATTTAAGATATTTCCCAGTGGCAAATACGACATGTAGGTGACAAGAGCGCCTTTGGCACGAAAACAAAGAAACTCAAATTTTTAAAATAAAATTACAAAATTAGGTTTTTTCCCAAGTGAGTTCTGGAGATCTAACGTCCCCAACAATAATAAAGACTTCAACAAGATTTACAACTCAGTTTGTAAATCTATTTAGTAGTCTTAGACAGTTGTATTGTTTATTTACATTAATTGTAATAATTAATATATACAATATATTTCCCCCTGTAATGAACGAACCACAAAAATAGGCTGCACAAATATGTAAAATTTTGTCTAAATATGGAAGGTATGTTTTTACAGTACAAAAGGTTCGAGGAAGAATTTACGAAATCCAGGTAAAATTTTATAATGAACACAATAATTTCTTTGATAAGCTGGTTTTAAATTCAGTTGTTATAACTTGTATGTTGACTAGCATCAGAGACTTAAATTTGTGAGGACCACGATAGAGCATCATAAGGATGCAAGATTACTCAGATAATGAGTTGTGGATAGCGAGTTCAGTGCGACAGACGTCTATCGTACTCGACCCGATCTAAGTTACCTGGTTATACCACTTCTATGTGTATTTACGAATTCATCTGCTCCTGTGGAGAAAGCTATGTTGGGCGTTCTACCAGACAACTGAACCAAAGAGTTAGTGAACACCTCCCTTAGTGGTTAAGAAAAGGTACTATCAAGTCAATATGCAGCTCAGTTCTATCACATTTGATCGATACTGGTCATGTAGTAGACAGAAGTAAGTCATTTAAAGTTATTTATCGTATTCCTACTAGTTTTCCTTATGGTGTTCGATCTCGTCACTTACACATAGCAGAAGCTAAAGGGATTCGAGCCAACAATCCAAGTCATTGTGTTCATAAGAAACTTGTAACACCCTTATCTCTCTTGGCCTTAATAAATCATTTTACTTATTGCTTTATTACTTTCCATACTTCGTCTTCGTTTATAATTATTTCTCTCTTCACCCCCTCCTACCATTTTATTTTATTTTCGATCAAATATACGATTCACGGTCCAATTATCTGAACACTTCTCATTACGTAATCTTATGGTTTTTATGAATGTTATTTTAGTGTCTAAATTGTTTCTAATCCTTAATCTATTTCCCATTATGTAACATTGATTCAAGCCTTTATTATTCTTATCACAACTAAGACACCTCACATCATACTATCAATTTGTACTTTTCACTTATTTATATAATCTACTCCATTGTTATCATCATTGACTCAGAAACTACCTTGATTGGTTTAATCATTTCTTATATGCGTATAAATACATTACTGTATGTTAGAGTAAATCCTGATGAAGATCTAATCTAAAACAATATTGTTCTAAATTACAACATAGGAATTACTCAAACTTTAACTAGTATGCAAATCACATTCAATCTTGCTTGGTTTGAACTGGTCCTAAAAACAAACATTTTGATCCAATCAGTTGTAAATATATATGTCCTACAGGTCAGTTGCAGCCAGGAAAGCTGAGAGGTAACGTCTCTAACTGTTAAGCTGGGTGACACAAGATCGAATCTGTCAGGGAGGACCAATTGCTTCACGATTACAGGTACACGGTGCTGATGAGTGCAAGTAGCATGAAAGCTAAGTTTAGGGTTTCCTGTAGACTACCTCACAATTTGAATTAAAGCTAAGTAAATAAAATCGTATTTGTTAAATGTGTTATAAAATACCCCGCTTCATCACCATCAGCTAAAGAATGTACTTTTATTTACCTCTAGTTCTTTGTACAGTTTTTCTTTCTCTTTACTTTTCAAAATTTTCGTTTCTTCTAGTTGATCTATGATATTTTCATGAATACCGGTAAATTTTGCAGATAGTTGACGATGTCTAAGATAAGTGTAGGAAAGAAAGAGTTAGAAATAAATATTCGATATAGGTCAGAATACAAGTAGATATAATCTAATTCGTATACATATTTCATTTAAACACTTCATTGACTGCTGAGAATGGGGTCAATGTGAGGTTGCAGTCAAAAGAAGTACACCATGAAGCTGTTCACTTTTGGTGTATGGTGAATTTAAACAGTGAGATTAGTAATCATTATGTTCAATTTGCATGATGTTACTAGAACTTGGAACCATTAAGAATCAAATATGTACTATTGTATTCTAAACCTATTGATTCAGATCAATATATAAACAGTAGAAAACGATACTGATTAATGTTGATTTGTACGACGAAAGAAATGGAATGCGGCTAACAATGAAAAAGAAGACGTGCGCATCGTTTTATCTGCAGCTCGTTAGCCGGATGTACTTGCACAGGAAGTACATATGCCAACCAAGACTGACCAAATTATAGTTAAAATATCAACAACAAGGGGATCCAAATCATTTCAACTTGATTTGTACGTCCTTTTTCCAATCAATACACGAACTCACATCATAGAAATTAGGGTAGCAACACATTTGTCCTAACTCTGTTTCCACTGTTTAAAATATCTATGAAAATCTTCAGAAGTCAGATTTCTCAGTTCTCTCATCAGTTCATATAGTTTTCACAGCACCTAATACTTAGCTAAAGTAGCATGAACGTGTGATTTAAAAAACTTATTTATCATCTAAATAGTGCATCAGGGGAATCAGAAAGAAGAGGGGAACATTTATATTTATTATTAATAATGGGGGAGATGAGTGAATTTCTGCGACATGTGTTGCACAGATAAGTTCTCATAAACTCATCCCATAAGGCTCTAAACTCGATGAAGAGTGGAAACAAATCAGATTTAGGGTAACCAAAAGTCTAAGCAACGATCGTGAGCAGTGGTGGGCAACGAAAGCAAAAAAGATGAAAAAAGCATCCGCTGTAGGTAACACAAGAAAACTTTCCAGACTGATAAAAGAAACCGGAATTAAGAAGTCAAGTGTAAGTGAGATTATCTCGGAAAAAGATGACTCTTATCTACTCTCAGTTCAGACGTTTAGAACGGTGAGCGGGACACTTCAAGGAGCAGTTCAGCTGGCCTTTAGCTACTCTACAACTACCCACCATTCCCAGACAGCGTGAATGGAACACTAAAACAGGCCCAAATTCTTAATGAAGTTCAGGAAGCTATAGCTAATCTGAAACGAGGAAAAGCTGGTCAAGATGGATTAACTCCAAAGGTCTTTATGTATGGTAGTCCACTTTTAGCGATTAGGTTTAGTATTTTAGATAAAACCTGGGAACTGAATGTAATCCCATCTGACTGGTCGCAATCACTGATCATCCCAATATATAAGGAAAGATCAAAACCATCCTGTAACTAGCGTCAATGATTATCGAGAACCTAACAAAGACTCGTAAACTGCAAACACAAGAAAAACAAGTGGAACATCGTAAGGAGATGCAGTCCCATGGTAGCCGGTGACCAACGATTGGTTCACAAGCCATTTGTTCCCGCAGGATACTGGAGCCCATGTGCACCATTGGTTTGGGATCCGGTTAAAGCGCCGGACATTCGCTTTTCGTCCTCTCATTTTCGTAAACAACACCCCCGCCACGAGAAAGCAATGAGTAGGACTTCCCTGGCAGAGGCTGTATACGCGTGGCCGTGTGAGAGTATTTCGAAAGGGAGAGCGGACTCTCCCCACTCTCGGCCGTACCAGGGCATTTGGGGATATATATATATATATATATATATATATATATATATATATATATATATATATGAAGTTAATCAAAACAACGTGCTATGGAAATATCAGTTGTCTTATATGAAAAAATGATATTTTTATACGAAATGACAGTAATCATTAGATATGAGCTTCGTACATGAGCTTATGAAACTAAGACCTGATTTTTAGACTTACTTATCGAAACCGTATAAATATATTATGAATCGAAATATATAGCCAGTGTCTGAGAATGGAAAATATATTAGTTGAAGTTAGACACTAACACCGTTGGATGACAGCCGGCTCAGTGGTCTAGTGATTAGGCGCTTGCGCGCGTGACCGATAGGTCCTGGGTTCAAATCTCCCGGGGCGGGATCGTGGATGCGAACTGCTGAGGAGTCCCACAATAGGACGAAACGACCGTCCAGTGAGTCCAGGTTCTCCATGGTGGTCTAGCTTCAATTAACTCATGATCTCAGCTATTGAAATTACTGTAATATCCACAAAAAAATTCTTCAAATATTACTATGTTTGGTGTTCAGACGTTGATTAAAGTCTTTATAGATTGAAAACATTAACGTAAACGTCAGGTGATACAAGAATATATATATTAGTGTTGTATATTTTTTATGGTAATATTTAGTCACTTGGAATTAATAGCCATAACAGATTTTTCAATTAATTAGGAATTCTGTTTATTGTTAGTCAGTCTTCAACAAATAACTCATATGGGATAGATATATGAAGAAAGCTGGACTTACTCAAGTATATTAAAGTTAAGATTCATGATGCTTTACTTAAAATTTGAAAAACAAGAGAAACGAATAAGTGAAACACTTACAATTCCATATTAATCGGTTCAAATGTTTCTTGTAATTGACTTAAACTACAACATTCTTTAACAATGAGATCAGGTTTTAATAAATCTGCATTATTTTGATATACAACTTGTGATAAAGTATCTTCTAAGGCTAAAAATGTATTTGTGAAATCAGCACCAGTCATTTCCATTGTATTAAATAAATTTTGAGTAAGTTCTGTATCTATTTCATCCTTGGCATAAAACAAACCTAACTAGGGATTGAATATAATAAAGATAACACATTCATATATTAAATCATTCAATTTTACATTAGTAATTATTAATATCAAGGTTTAACTTGATAATTTCAAGTAAATTGAGCATGGAATATACGGTTCATAATAAAAATTAATGATGTATGTGCGAAATTTTAATGAATAATTTGGATTTCTGCAGTTTCGTGACCTAGTGTGAGCCAATCCTTCAGAGTAAATGAACCAAATTACATTAATTTAACAGTTACATTCATGAGTCAATTGGAGTTAGACCACCATGGAAGCACCGGATGGCCGATTCGTCCTAGTATAGGACTCCTCACCCAAGACCAGTGGAATTCAACTGGGTCTGTGAGATATTAACTCACTGAAGACAATGGTGGCACAACTTCGAGGATTGGTTGGAGTAAGACATTAACACCGTTGGAGGACAGCCGGCTCAGTGGTTTAGAAGTTAGGTGTTCGCGCGCGAGACCGACAGGTCCTGGGTTCGAATCTCGCTAGGCGGGATCGTGGATGCGCACTGCTGATAGCAACCGATAGTCAGAGAACTTGAATGACATGACTCAAAAACGTTTGTAATGGCGCAGGTGCATCCACTCTTTGTGTTCTCACAAATTCTAATCTTCTGAATTATTCATGTCCCTTATTTCAGTGGATTATACTCCTCGAATAACATCTTCAAACCCTAATGTTTCCGATTACTGATTATACTCTTACTACCTCTGCCATTGTGTGATTCGAATCGACAACTGCATCTCTGTGCTAATGTGGTATGGCAACTCGAACTGATTTACGTACGTACGAAGTTCTATGTTGTCACTGACTGACTGCTGAGGAGTCCCATACTAGGACGAAAAGGTCATCTAGTGCTTCTAGGTTTCCGGTGGTAGTCTAGCTTCAATTGACTCGTGAATTCAACTATTAAATTACTATGTCTACAAAACCCCTCTCTGATTAAAATTAACAAACGTTTAAAAAGAATATAGAAACAAGGTAGAATATTTACTCCAATCTAAAATCACAGAATTATTAGGTCTTTTTTGTTTAACCAAGGAATATTTAGGCTACACGGAAAAACCTAATGATCCTGTATATTTTGATTGAAATAAATATTCTACCATTTTGGTTGTGACTTTATATCCGGCTTTTTATCACGTGATTCATCCACCAATCAAAATACGACTTATACAATCTTATCACTGTGCCAAACCAATGACGTTCGACCGGTGTGAGCAGCCTAGCGTCCTTATTGGTCCTACGTCCGTCTAGCCCGTCCACTTGAGTCCAGAACACCAATACCAGATACCACCATGAGAATCGAATCGAATAATTTATTTCAGACACACTGGGTTTATATATCAATCAAACAGACCGCAACGCACCATAAAATAGGAAATAATATTTGTACACAATAAAGCCAAAAAGTGGCTGTGAACGTGGGAGGCAGTAGTCAATAAACTGAACATACAATATTAATATATACGTCAAAATAAAGCTTATAATAAGAGGAATATTAATATACATAATTCAATTATTGAATAGTAACGTAGTGAACAGAACACCAGTGGGGACAATCGAATGTATTCAACACAAAATTACAGGACTTGTTCATAAAATGCTTAATTTGCAAGGTGTCCATCATTTGTCTCAAAATGACTCATACTTCATTGTTCTTGCATTTTCATACAAATTGAATTCTGTTTCCATTCGTTACTGTTCGATCCTCTTGTCTCTCTGCTGTCAGACATTCTGTTCACGACTAACATCATATACTACTTAAGTTAGTATAAGTAGCACACACCACAGTAATACCATAAGAATGTATAGATAACATTAGTCAATTAATATGTCTCAGAAGTTACGCTTGATTTAATCTTCGCTCAGATATAACAATTTTCACAAGTATCTTTATTTTATTAGTACTTTCACGTTAGTTTACTTTTGTGTAATTATGTTCATTAAATAATCTATGGAAAGTAATCTCTGATTGTTTTTAGTAAACTAAAATTAGCTTGGCCATATATCAGCCATGGAGATCTGTAGATTGATTCTTGGTTGACTTCTGGTTGTACGTTGATGAAAAATATCAAAGAGTTGTCAAGTTCTATTTACTTTTCAATTTATTTACCAGCTACATTGGACTGTTTATAGTGTATTTTAAAATTACAAAGACCTTTAGCTTAGATGAATGCTTTTCTTGAATCTATGATTTTAGAATTGCATGTCATAAGTGCAGAGATTTGATGACTATACTATAAAATGTCATTAACAACATCAAAACTACATCAGGTTTTACAAATTCATGTATGTTGAATTTGTCCACTAATTTCTGGTCCACTTGTATCTAATTCATTATTTTCTCCAACTTAGTTTGCCTTTGATTACATAACTTATATAAATATTTTTAGATGGTTTAAAACCTAAAACAAATTGATTGCAAAAATATTCCGGAAGAACTTTAAAAGCTTGGAATTTCGTTTCACCGGTAACGAAAGATATGGATGTATAGGTTCACTTACTCATTTGGTAAATAACTTGGTAATTTTGTTTTAAGAATTTGAATTTCTTGTTTTCGCGCGAAAGGTGCTCATTTTCACCTTCATGTCGTATTTCCCACTTGGGAGAATCTTAAACGCTAATGGTTCGTCGTATCTTTTAATATGATATTTTGTAACGCTTCCCAATGACAATTTTGTGCTGTATATATACGTTGGATTTGTGCTTGTTGTTTTTTTCTCATGCTTCTGTCTGCTTGCGGAATATATTTCCCCACTTGAGCTTGGACTTCTCTCTCTAGTTAGCGGAACGCGTCAGAACAGCTAGCTTATTGTTCTTTGGTCAGAGAGTCTTTGTTCAGTCTAGGTGAACTCGTAATCGCTTCAAACATAGCAAGTTTATTAACCAATATTAAAAATTAAATAGCAAATGAGAAAAGCTAGTCCACAGAAGGAATATCGGAATCGATAGGACAAACTGAATGTGGTACACGAAGAGATTCTAAATTCTTGATATTCAGAAATTGCAATCGATTTCTTATAAAATTCAGGTTATAGACTATAATTTACAGTAAAAACGCACAACTATTAAACCATTATGTGGTAATTCAGCTCAAATCAATTCGCTACCTAACTTTCTTTAAATTCTGAGCTTTGAAATTACTTTAAACCTTCTATTCTACGAATTTATTCTTTCTTCTCGAATCATGAATATACATATATATATAACTGCTTATCAACTTACCTTTTTACGCATTCTTTCCAAATAGACACTTTTAAAACAAGACATATATGTAGTATCCAAAACATTAGTGAATTTTTTTGTAAGATTATCAACAAATATGCATTCTTTATTCGTTGTTTTATCAGATGAACATTTCTGTTGATCAGTTAATGCTTGAATTAAACATTCAGCTAGACGAGCTAAATTCCATGCACAAACACTTGGTTGTTGAGCATATGAATAACGTCCATTTGGATCCGATGTATTCGATATATGATCCCAAGTGAACTGATCAATAAAACCAAATGGTCCATAATCAATTGTTAAGCCAATAATACTCATATTGTCTGTATTTAATACACTGGTTATTTTATGGGAAAAAAGCAACAAATAAATTGAAAGGTAATTTTCTATGAATAGAGTAAGAGTGATGAGTTGAAAAAAAAAAACAATTGAAAATCAGCAACTGATGGTTGTTTAATTGAACACATAGATATTGGTACAAGGAGGCATTAAATACATATGCGCCACACAGATCTCATTTGATATGTGTGAGGGCTGTGATACTGCCCGGGTGCCCAAACCGAAACAGGTAGCAACTGATAGACAGTAACTTAGTTTTAGTTAGGAACTTGTCAACGGTATGAGCATCTACAACATTATACGGAAATGTGGACTATTTAATCCCATCAAGATGGTTTGTATGTAACGTGACCTCCTCCAAACCTGATGATACCAGATTAAGTTCTGTATATAATCCTGGGGGGTGCACTGATGAAGAGTTAAAATTGGAGGCGTAATGACTATCTAGTGCATCACCCGATCTCAAAGATTTTCAAGTTGATATCAATCTAAGATGAAAACTAAAATTGCTTTTCTTGAGTTGAATATTTTAATGTCAATCCTTCAGTGTCTTTACAGAAAATATCAACACAAAATTCAAAAGAAATGGGGCATGAAAATTTCTTTAGAAGTGACTAACAGCTGATTTGATTAGTTGTTGCCGAAAGGTTCCCTGCCATGGTCTGAACATTTATTTTCACTGTCAAGCATTGCTTCATCGTTTTTTACCAATGATCAACTAAGTAAACTGTTTGTGTGAATGTACACACTCATGCCTTGGCTATTCAGACTATTTTTGATCTCTTCCAGTGTTTGGAACTTTTATTATGGAGTCAACAAAAAGTTGAAGTTTTTTGGTGTCAAAGAGAATCGGCTCCACCTGTGTTGTAACCCTACCGTACATACAAGGAATATCAGAAACTGCAACGAGACTGCTGAAAACCTTCGGGATAGGTGTGGCACACAAACCAACAAAATCACTACAATCAATCTTATGCAAACCAAAAGATGAAATAACAAAGGAGAACAAATCAAACATTATCTACAAAATAAATTGTACCAACTGCGACAAACACTACATCGGACAAAGCGGACGTCCCCTCCACCTACGCCTACATGAACATCAATTAGCAGTCAAACGCCATGATATCTCTTCACTTATTTCAATACACGTGGATAACTACGGACACTCATTCGATTGGGAAAATGTAGAAATCTTAGACAGAGGAAACTCCAAAAACACCAGAGAATTTCTAGAAGCCTGGCACTCAGGTCAATCAGCAATCAACAAACATATTGAAATCAATCCAATTTATCAACCAATCAGGAAAATCATGCATATATATAAGAACAAAAATCAAAACAATGGGAGACACAACCAAAACAAAGAAGTGAACAATGATAAATTTAAGGTCAACAAGAACCAATCAACATCGAGGTGCACAGAACAAGCTGTGAAACACATAAGGAGAAAATCGAACACTTCACTTCTATCTGAAGTGTGTGCTGATGATGTCGTTCAGAAGAACGGTGAAAGCTCCACGACCAAACCATCCAGCTCAGAGAACAAAACTCCATCAAAATCATCCACCTGAGCTACAAATCTTCTCCACTAACATGAAAGAACCCATTTGGGCTATACAACCTTTGAAAACCAGAAAGAACTGCACAGTTTTGTTCCAACTAAGGGACTCCCCAGCAGTATGCATCAACGACCTTGCAACCTGGAATTAAACCCAAGAACTTGGACCTTGTTCGCGAAAGCTTAACCTCTAAATCATTGAGTCGGCATATGATGGTGTACAATTCTAACTTTAATCAATTAAGAAAGATTGTTTCAGTGAACAGTTCTCTTTTCCGCGAATTTGTTTTAAAAGCTGTACAAATACTTCTTTTTCGACCCCAAATGCCCTGGTACGGCCGAGAGTGGGGAGAGTCCGCTCTCCCTCTCGAAATGCTCTCACATAACCACGTGTATATAGCCTCTGCCAGGGAAGTCTTACTGCCTTCTCGTGGCGGGGGTGTTGTTTACGAAACTTAGAGTATGGAAAGCGAATGTCTGGCGCTATAAATGAGGTTGGTGGAAACGGAGAGTTCACCTAGGGGAGTTGGAAAACGCTGATTCCAAACCAATGGTGCACATGGGCTCCAGCATCTTCAGGGATAAAATGACGTATGAATCAATCGTTGGTCACCGGCTACCATGGGACTGCATCTCCTTACGATGCTCCACTGCCTTGTGGACCAGACCTTCAGGTCGAAGGCTTCGAGTGCGGCCCCCTAAGAAAACCACCTGCAGTATCACAGTCCACACACAAATCAAATGATATTTATGTAGTGCATATGTATCTGATGACCCTTGTACCAATATCTATATGCTCAAATGAATAAATAAATACTTATTTTCCAGGATGATAAAAATTACATTAATAACGATGATAGTGATAATAAAATTCTGTTAAAAACGGTTGAATAAACAAAAGTATTAAAACATTATTTTATCAGGCAAATTAATAATAGTTTCATTGTTCAGGGGTTGAATATTCATCGTGAAGACAGGTAGGGGAAGCAGATGACTGTGAAAGTAGAAAAGTATAAAGAAGCAAGAAAATTACGGCATTAAGACCATGGTAGAAGAAGTTTTATCAGTTTCTTTTGGAAACATAATTTCACTTTTTCAGGATGTATAGCTATTGCATCAGCAATACTATGAAAATGCATTATAACTGTCTTTGGCAGTCTTCTACTTGCTCTGCAAATGGCTTCGAACGCAGAGTCAGCTTTAATTGAGTGACCTATGTTCACAAGGCGTTCGATTATTGAGCGTCTTATTGAGCCGCTTCCGCCTCTTTTTAGCCACTACGGGTAATGTTCTTGAGTTTTTCGGATAAAGTACGCATCGAACGACCTATAATATCAGGCTCCACATGAGCAAGTAAGTTGGTAAATGAACATAGAACTGGTCAGATGAGATAATTTATCCTTAAGATTATTGATGAACATTGGTTGGCTTGAGAAAACTATACGCAAAAATGCTGCAAAGAACGTTCTTTTTAGAGGACATCTGTAACTTTTTTACCCTTACGGGTCAATGTTTATGTGAAGTGTTTTCTTTTTGACCGAGGTTATTTGTGTTTTATATTCTTGTCAATAAATATCACAAAATATCCATTTATGATAAGTATTTTCTTCAAGATGCTCAGTTAGTTATCTTTGACCTTGGGACTACAAATTCTTCGTATTTGCGTGGAGATTAATATAATTAACTTTCACTTTCGACTTATGGGGATCCCGTTGTGGAAACATGATAGTTGGCCATTCCACATGGGTTTCTCGTAGATAGATCTTCTTAGAGTCTCGTCGTGTTTTCTTGCCATTTTCACATTAAGAAAGTAAATACCTTGCTTGCTTTCAACTTTATTCACTGCTGAATGGCAGCTATTAAATATCTTCAGAAGATTACTCAAATCATATTTGTTATCACAAATGATGAAAATACCATCCACGTACCTGTTATACAAATGGAAGTTATCAATACTCCTTTCAAGTTAGTTGTTCCCTAAACTGATAATGAAGCAATCTGCTAGTAATAGACAGAGAAGAGATATCATTGCAATATCATCCTTTTGTCTATGAATAACATCGTTGAATGTAGGTTGTACATTACGAGTGCATCGTAATAGTTCCTTCAGATAAGCTTCCGGTATTCCAATATTCATCTCATTATTATTTATGTACTTGCAGATAAAAGTGATGGTCTCTGTGAATGGAACATTAGTGAATAGTGATTCGACACCGAGAGAGAGAGTACAAGTTTATCATTTACATTCACTTGTTTTATTTATTCGATGAATTCAAAAGTATCGTGTAAGGAATGTATAATAATTACTTTTTCTTACGGGTTTTACGACATATGCCAGCCACTGTGCTATAGGGGACATATCAAAAATTGGTCGGACAGGTAGGCCAGATTTGCGTATTTTAGGTAAACTATATGGTCGTGGTATTAATGATCCTGTTCGTTTTATGAACTCATAGATATCTTCATTGATTGACTGATCATTTTTCATCCTCTTAAGACCTTCAATCAGTTGCTTTACTATTATTTCAGTCTTGTTCTTTTCATGGATTGGTTTAAGGAACTTGGTATTATCTGTTAACAAATTTTTCGTTTTGTCGACACAGATCAATCCACGATATTGTGTGACTATCTTCCATCGTCTTGGTTTAGGTTTCTTCCTCACGTCAGACACGGTTTAGTTCCATTGGTTACGGAGTCTCACGAAATGGTCGTCCAGTAATTTTGGGTTTTCAATGGTGTACAAACTTATATCAGTTCGCGATCTCAGTGAAATTCAACAATTCCCACCATTTCATACTGACAATTATCAATACTATCAGTTCATGAATGCTATTAATACAAATTTATAGTAGCTCTAATATATAACATTCCCTCAGAAATATTCTTGTAACAGAGTAGATAGAATTGTCTAGAAATTTGACAATTACAGCTACCTAGTAGACAGATAATTTTAAACAACATAAACTGAGACATTCAGTGAAATGTACTAGTTTCTAAGTAAATTTAATTAGATTGCAAATTATCTACATGAATGTTTGCCATGATGTTTATGAATAATTTCATAAAATCTCTAAAAACACAAGAAAACACAATGTGTTAGATGTTATTATCAACAAAGGAGGTCGATCATCCTCTTAGCTTTGTATAATCGTTCCCACAGTCTTTTCATAGACCTCAACGAAACTTAACTAAAAAAGGCTACTTTCATTTATTTTATTGTAATTGTAAACAATCCTTAACATTTTGTAAATTATCTGAGAATTTTCCGCAAGTTTAACCCGTAACTTGAAGTAGTCATCGTTCGTATATATGTACTGAATACACATCTTTATTTTCAGCTACAAACATTCTTTGTGATCATATAACATTATTCAAAATATAGATAGATGATCAATTTAAAAGTAGTATAATTATTCAGAAAAGAAATTATTATTGTGTTTTTACTTTTTAATCTTACCCATGACAAAATCCAACAGTTTGCCAAAGAGCGACTAGGTTAGCTGTACGTTTCACTACTTCTTTAAAGAATTCCACATAACAATTAATAATATCATTTGAATATTCTGACCAAATCTTAATTGACGAATGTTTTAAACAACAGGCAATGCAAAAAAAACAAGGATAAAATAAAGACTTTATCCACTTTAAGGTGAAACAATTAAAAAAGTTATTCTAACGGATAATTTATAGTTTCTTGTTCTATTTAGAGACATAGAATCACTGAAAACTGGGAAATAGCAGATATCAGTATGAGAGTTGAATAGAAATTAACGAATCTTATAGCATATATTACGGATTGAACTTAGTTAGACAATCACTGAAAATTATGAAACATTGGATAGCTTACTTTGACCTAGTATAAGGATTTCTTAAAAATGCGCATCCACAACCACATCCGGGATCAAATCTCAAACCATTAAGCCTTGTGGCGAGTAATAAACCTTCATACCACAGAGTTAGCATTCAACATGAATCAACTCAACTGTGAAACCATCACACAGTGACATTTGTAGGCAAGCTCTCATGTAATTAATGGTTTTGAACTCCACTGATGATATCGGTTTCTCATCAGCACTCCAGAAATTACTTCTCGAAATTAATTTTTAGTGGGCACACTGATTAGGTTCAAAAACTAGGAATGGAAACTGTTGGATGCCGACCTAAGGGTTAAGAGCTTATTGTCACACCATAAAGTTGAGGGTCCTCGATTCCGTTCCTGGTGAAGTTATGGATGAGCACTGTGGAAGTCACCCATTCATAAGTAACGTAGAACATGGCCCATATGTCTATCGGTTCAAACTACTAAAACAAATTAGTACACTGAAATGAAAATTTTCGAGACAGATCCCAGAGTAACAGTATAAGTGGTGATAAAGAAGAATAGGGATGGGAGATACGAATCAAGTAAGTTCTCAAGACTTAATAATGACTACTAACTTTAAACTCAAAAGTGTTTCACAAACCATTCAACAGAAAAATAATTGTGTGTATCCATTAATGACTAGCCACGAAATCAACTAGCTCGCAGAAAACCTGACTACGCTCACATTTCTCGGTTAAAACTTATCCTCCCGACATCATATGTTCATTTGACTTTGGAGAAATATGTGACCTGTTTGGACTTGCCCGGTCTATTTTCAAAAGCAGGCTTACCTTTTCCGTTCCACTTGAGGTGAAGCGATAACAATTACATTACATTATTACAGTCATTTTGATGGAACAGAAAACAACTACATATAAACTATACTATTATAACTTTAAAATATCATTAAGAAGATTTATTTCTGAAACAGTTAATATTAGGAAACAGAATTACTTACATGAGGATAAAATTGCTGTATTACGTAATTAGTAAGTTGTGAAACAATTGTCAAATTACCAACGCTTGGTCCGAAACGCCCAGTAATTGGATCTGGGGACTTAGATATTTCAAAAGATCCAAACCTTTGAAAGAAACAACAACAAAAATATAGTAAAAACTATATATATATATATATATATATATATATATATATATATATATATATATACCTGTCACAACAGAATTAGGTGAATGACACAATCAAATTCAGCAGAGTAAATAAAAAAAAAATGCAAAAAACACATTTGGCCATGTAATTACGGAAATTTTATCAAACTGATGAGTTCAATTGATAGTTAGTAAACATGTAAGATGAAAGAAGTGTCTACGGTATGTTCAAGCATTGGATTATTAAACAACTTTAGTAATCGTTACGATAAAAAAAAATAGAGTAACGATCTTTCAAAACGTTTCTCTGAACATTAAACTGCTTGGCTATTAAAACAATTACCAAGGTCAGTTAACAGTCCAATTCTTGAACATCGCGTTGACACTGGTCAGATCGCTCCACCAGAATCCTTCTTCAAAGTCATCCGTGATGTCAAATAAAAGGGTTTTAATCAGAGTACAAGTCAGAAACTTATGTACCGCAAAGGTTTTATAAATCCATGGACTCCAGCCTATTCTCTATGTGCAGAAACATCAAGTTCAATACCTCATTTTGCTTTGGTCTTAACCCCCACTGTGTTTACTGTGCTTAGTAATCTGACGCTATTACTTATTTATTATCTCTTCATAATCATTATTCACCTATTATTAAAACAAATAACTATTCTATTTTTTATATTCATCGAATGAATGAACTTTATTTTAACAATTTTTAATCAACTGTCAGGTTATTACATAACTCCTCTTCTATATTCAATGTTCCAAACAATTTACAATGAAATACTACTCTATGGTCACAACATATTAATATGCTTCAAGTTGTCAAATATCTTCCACTTGTAACCCATTTCACTTCGATCTATTAGGTACTAACTAATAATATAAATAAATAGTATATAGAAATAAGATATGGAAGATTCCCTAACTGACGATCATAAGAAAGGTAGAGAAGAGAAAACAAACATGTGCCAAGAAACGACTAACGAAGTAAGAACGGGGGTTTGTGCCACAGTAAACCAAGGGATAGGATAAAACCGCATTTAAAGCTAAAGATCAGGCCTCTGCTATGTGTAAATCCTTTCGACTTTGAATGGAGATTCTGATGAAAATAGATGACCAGATTTGACCAGGTGCTCAACAGTCGAGCTATTGACTGATTTCCCTTCACCTTTTAATAACCATGCTGAGTAGTGCACGGATAGGCGTATTTGGAATGATCACGCTTTGTGAAGCCAATAATAAAAAGTTCCACAAGAGCAAGTAGCCGATAGATACATATTGAGGTCGCACAAAGCGGTAGTTTATCCTTGGCGAATCCTTATATTAGACATCTCTTGGAAAATACAATTCGTAGCTCATTAGAGTAGAATTTCTTCTTCAAGGATCTAGACGATTGATTTCGCAAGATATCTGCGGCTGCATGCAACTCTTTAAAACTGAGTGTTTACGAACAAAAACTTCGTTACGGTAATGGTTCCTCCAATCAAGAATTTTGGCTTCAGATTGTTATCAGTATTTGTCTCTTCTTAATTTTGCGCCGATTATGTTTCCCGTGTATTGTATTATAATTGCCACAATAAGACAAAAATGAATAGGAGAATTACACGATGTTCACTGATTTGACATTATTTATATCTCATTTTGGTCATTTTAATGCAACAATTAAGGCTTTATAACTGTATAGCCTAATGATAATGAAATTATTTACAAAGTCCGTTTGCTCGAATACATCAGAGTTTTGAATGTTGCTTGGGGTTTTTTAAGCTATGAAATACAAACTCTTGTAATTGATAATCGTTTACAAAAAATAATAATTACCTGATGAATGTCTTAGCTACTCTGCTTGTTATACTGGCTTTTTCAGTGATATTATCACCTGTATAAAACATGTCACGTTCAACCAGAGTGTCAGATGTGATAATTGATGCAGCTCGAGTAGTTGGAATGCCTAAATAATACATTGCCTAAAAAAGATGGGAATAAGTAAGGCATGATATGAGAATTATGAGGAATAAAGCATATAATGTTAGCACGATAGGATACAGGCTATCGGATTCTTTGATCAGGCTCAAATCGGAATACGGTAATTGGTCAGCTTTTCAAACAATCAGTGCTAGTGAATGCTAAAATATTGTCACATAACGCCAAAGCATATTAACGAATGACCTTGCAAAAAATTGGGTTTATAGTCATTAAAGTTTGTCTACGCGAACATGCGTCCCCACAGAAATTTCCTGATGAACATGTTAAGATCAATGAATGTGTTCAGCATCATAAAATTGGAAAGAAAATGTGCTTGCTGTGTCTTAGTTTGAAACAAGACGACTATTGAACTAAACAATTACAGACAAAGTGCTGAAATGAAAATTGCTTATCCAGAATAAAGGCTGTTCACCTTAAGTGAAAAGAACCGTCTCTTATAACAGACCTCCAACTCTATTTACTAACTTACATGTACGTTCCAAAGCACATACACAAGAAAAACAGAGAAAAGTATATATCCATATTTTCGAGAATGCTCTAAAGAGTTTGGGATGAAAAAGTGCAACAACCCTGAACGCTGCAACAGCTCAGTATTTATTCATCAGCGTGCAAACTATCTTGCAAAATTATCATCCGACAAGAACACGCAACTCCTTTCCAAAACAATAGTGAATAAAAACTCAGACAGGATTTTCGTGTCCAAAAACAGGCAGTAATCAATTTGCCACTAACTTGTTTGAACTGAGACCTCTATCACTGTATTTTTATAGCTTCTAAGTAACAAACTCCGATCAGTTCACCATTATGAAGTTAAACATTAACACCGTTGGGTGCTGGCCTGGTGGTCTAGAAGTTAAGTGTTCGCGTGCGGAACCAAAGTTTCTGGGTCCGCACTGCTGGCGAGTCCTATACTAAAACAAGACAGACGTCTAGTACTTTCACGTTTCTAGCGGTGGTCTAACTAATTTCAGTTCGTGATTTAAAAACTATGGAACTCCTACGATCATAAAACTTTACACTAATATTATCAGACGAAATATTTCTCAAGTCAATTATTTCACCTATTTTAAGATCTTTTCGTTTACCTGTGATTTCCACCTGTTCAATTATTTAAACTTATGTCAAGTCCTCAAATATTCCATAACTATTTCCCAATCCATCTTATTAATTTTCGAAATCTAGTTAATTACTACCTTACTCCTATGCGTTTTATGTTTATCTTCATATGATATATATATATATATATAGCTGAAAATTGTTGTCATTCCTATACTTTTTCATCACCAACGTTTATGACTTCATACTATACCATCAATCAATGTTACGACGTTTCAATAAAAATACAATTGTAAACATTCGAAGAGAAACCATGAAATAAAATAAGTCTGTATTATTCTGCCTCAATTTAGGTTTTGGCTTTATTCAAAAAAAACAGATTTAGTTGAGTTATACTGGTGTCATTTAATGATGAGAACCTTAAACTTAAACTCCAACTAGGAATAATGTGTAAACTCGTAAAAATCTATTAGAGATCATTTTAGGGGTTCGAGAAGATGAAGAATCCATATATTCATAAGTATGAATTTCTCTAATGATATTTTCTCGATTTTCAAACAGATTAACCTGTAGAAGACATAAATAGGTTTGATGACGATGGAAATTCTGTTTACACTTTGTAATATTATTACTTCTCCCCATAGATTATCCATATACAAGAGCTGTTTTCTGATTGGTTTAAAAACTAGTCGAAATTTTGTTTTGGTTGTTGTATGCTCGTCTTGATGCTATACTTTTATCGGATAGCCCACAACTAAATTAGAGATATTCCTAAATGCGCCGATTACATGTTGAACGTCCTTGACATGACTGAATGCATAGTCAAGTGTGTTTGAGTGAATAAAAATTATTTTCCCACCCAAGGTCTAACTTTAACACTATGTTATTATAATTTATGGATGAAGCAATCATACTTAAGATAACACCTCTTGAATCTTTGGATGAAATCTATTACTATTCGTTTTTATTGGTATAAAGCATTTTATATGATATCGATCCGTGATGAAAACCTTAATCCTAGTTACAACAGACCGTACCCGGACTCCTAATTCCCAGCCTTAGCCACTATTTATTCATCGACCACGTTGAAGCTGCTGATCCATCTTAATTTGTTTTTGCTACAGATTACTTTATAACGAAACATTTTTTTTAATTGACTGGATTCATCTAAGGTTGCTACTTACATTCTCAGATCTAAGTGATATGTAACACCAGTCGGAAGTAGCATGTCTTCGAGCACAAGGTTGAGAAGATTAAAATGAAGAGAAGAGAGAAGGAAACTGAAAGCAACCAAGATAACAAGAGGAATGAAGGAACCATGAAGCTTGCAAGAGACAATTCAAAGATAAGCAACTGATGAATTTAATGTATGGTTTTCATATTCTACGAAAGCACCTTGTAATTTTGCACTAAACAACAAACTAGTTACCCTGAAGTGTTAATGCGATTCAGTAATTTATTTAAATTCTCAATCTTTTAATTGACTGAAACGGGTCGAAATCTCAAGGTTGTTCTTCAGTATACTTTAGCCTTGTTCTGTTTCAATCAAAGTATTTGGTTCGAAGGAACACATACAAAAGCTTCAACCAAGTCGCAGATTCGAATTTTTTCTCAGTCTATTTCTGTTCGAGCAATCAAGTAGTGTTACTAATTTCTCAATAAAAGTGTGGTTTCAAAGCTGAGTACTTTGTAAATGAATTATGACAAAATTACTTCTATTAGGTTATGTATCTTGATAATTTTAAAATTACAAATGACTAGTGTTATTACATTTTAACAGCAACAAGTGGTGTGGTGATATTATCTGAAATAGAATTAATTCAAAGAAGATTGTGTACAAAGATTATTTCATACTCAAAATTAAGTGATTCACTTTATTACTATTGTTCGGTTAAATAGAGAAAAGATCTGTGTCAGATCTATCACATCATAAAAATGAAGTGCTGTGTGATTTGCCCACTATTACTTCGACTTTGTAGAAAAATAGTCGTTTTTTAGACCGGAGATATGGATAGGTTGCTAGTATCCAATTATAGGAGACTTCAATGGAATCACCAAGTGAGCAATCTTGAGGTTAGGCATTGAGTAATACGTGAACATGATAAAATAATTGATGTGCCAGTGAACCATCTTCAATTGAGATGTTATGGACGCCAAGAGACTGCTTACTCCAATGCTGACTAGTATAAGAGTAGGTTAAAAAGGGCCAAGGGCTATCAGAATACGATATTTTATTAGTCCATGAAGTTACTGGGTAATGGTCTAAACCGATTAAACGGTATGCGGTTCATTGTTGAGGACCATCATCATAACAAACACAATCTCACTAGAAACGTCAGTTGACACGCCACCCAGAATCAGTTGCAGTAGTGCAGTTCCATTTACTTTTCTCATTATCTTCTAAATTAAGTGTTAATGTTGTCGAATGTTTTTTACTCCCCCAATCTCATTTGCTCGTTTTAAACGATATTCTCTATTCACTTAGCCAATATTATTGATATCATTATCTCAGCATTTTTTCATAATACAGTGTAAATTGTATCATTTCCCACATGAAAATATACTATATTTTGATAAATCGTTGTATAGATATTTCTATAATCTAACCTCACCTCAGAGCATAGAAACTCTCGTAAACTGGAACGTAATACTTTTCTTCCATCACCTTGCCGAGAAAATGGAGTTAAACCTGAGCCTTTCAATTGTAATTCCCAACGTTCACCTTGTTTATTGACCACTTCACCAAGTGAACTAGAAGAAACAAATAGCTCAAGTGACTGAGTAATATACGATAACAAGGTCAACAAAGTTTTTTCATTTCTGACATATATATATATATATATATATATATATATATATATAATTATAACACAACTAAATTGAAAGGTGAGACGACTTTATTTCACTAGCGGCGACTTTCAGAACATAGACAAACAAACCTCTGTAATTATTGGTAAAACGAAAATATTTACTACAAACAAATGAACAATGATCGTACTATGATTTCATTTTAACAACTAAATATTTGTCAACCTTCATGATAATACGTGTTCAGCATAAAATGACGAATCTTGAGTTCAACATTTCAAAGAATAATGAATGTTAGGCCCAAAAATAGTGTAGTCAGCAGAACCAAACAATCGTTGTAAAATATCATGAATTAACTGAAGTTGGAAATATGAGTCTTTGGACGGTAAACTGGTAATATGAAAGCTTGTAACGAGGTATAAACGTCGTGAATCTGAACGCAGTTGGTGTTATGGTTGCACATTGATGATGAGTTGCATGTTGGAACGAAACAGTTGTAAAGCCAATTCAGATAGGCCTTCAACAACTGACTACCAGAGTTCAGTATGTAAGATACATAATGGAGAATCCGAAACATCCCAAATACGCTATACATAGCAAAATTATGAACAATAATTTTAATCTTGAGTTGAAGGATGTGAAAGCATGCGAGTGTAAGTGTTATAATGCTCGCTTATTACAACTTAGCTATTCCTATTGCTTAGTATTCTTAACCACCAATTCACTCGACAATCCCCAAATCAGAATGCGGTTGAATAGGAAAGAGATTATATTCCAAATAACAAGGTTAGATGGAAGTAAGAAGCACAGTAGGAAAAACGTTAGTATATTCATAGTTTTTACACGAGAAGATTCTAAAGTGTTCTCCAAGTATCGACCAGCGCTGATTGGATTAGAATTAGCCAATCAGCGTGCACCAACGCAATCGTGTATTGAGCATTCTTTAATCTAATCTATGTCCCGCTAACAGTGAGTTTCCTATATTTCTATAATCTAGCTATTCACAGAATCTTTCGGCATAGACTACTGCTTTCAATGTGATCGCAAAAATTGTTATCTGTATCACAAAATTATGGGAATAATGAGTGTTCTTTGGTAAGTATCGGCTGTTTTGATTGCAATTTGAAATACTATAGAGATGGCGTATATTTTTCCCAAATAACTCGGAATGTAAAGAAAATGTAACATTGGGAAAAACGTTATAACTTAAACTTTGGGTGGCATCTAAGTTATTGATTTACGCATCGATAAACGGTATAACGCATCAGCTGAATCATGAAATTAGGTATCCATTTCCACCCTAAATGAAGAGGTCAACAATCCTGTGAGCATATACACAGTTGGAGCTGAGAACGGACTGGGGAACGGAATTAGTCATCACTAGGCCATTCAAGTAATGCATAGACAACTCGGTCTTACATTAGACCAGTTACATGCAGAATAACATGTCAGATGAGTTGGAAACGTACAAGTGAATTTGTTTTGTAATATTACGTGCAGATTACTTGGTTGGAGTACGCGCGACTGTTGTAACCAATTGTTGGGGATTCTGGGTGATATGTTTCGGAATCAATCACAATGGCGTTATTGTATGCCCTCTTTATCTTACCTTAAACTATGAGATTAAAATTACTTTATAGCTTTCTTTCTACGATCTAATTCTTTCGTTCTGTATTATATCCTTATATACAATCTTTATTTTATATATTACTACCACTGAGGTAACTACTTCTACGGATTTGATGTTCATCTTTTTGTACTGAGGTGTGGAAATTTGGACCGATACATATATGTGCCTGTCAGTCAGTTTTATTTTATTTATTTCAACACATAAATATTGGTACAAGAGGGCACCAAATATATATGCGCCACACCATATTTGTGTGTGTGTGTGTGCGGGCTGTGATACTGACCGGGTGCCCAGACCGAAGCAGGTGGTCTTCTTAGGGGGCCACACCCCGAGCCTTCGACCTAAAGGTCTAATCCACAAGGCAGTGGAGCATCGTGAGGAGATATATTCCCATGGTAGCCGGTGACCAAAAATTGGTTAATACGCCATTTGTTCCCGTAGGATACTGGAGCCCATGTGCACCATTGGTTTGGGATCCGGTTAAAGCGCCGGACATTCGCCTTTCGTACTCTCATTTTCGTGAACAACACCCCCGCCACGAGAAGGGAGTGAGTAGGACTTCCCTGGCAGAGAATTTGAACGTACGTACATCAGTTCGAGTTGCCATACTACATTAGCACAGTGATGCAGTTGTCGATTCAAATCCCGTAGTGGTAGAGGTAGTAAGAGTATAAGTAGTAATCGGAAACATTAGGGTTTGAAGATGTTATTCAAAGGGTATAATCCAGTGAAATAAATTTGGAAGGAGAAAAAAAGAAAAGAAAATAAAGAGTTCAGAAGATTAGAATTTGGGAGAACACAAAGAGTGGATGCACCTGCGCCATTACAAACGATTTTGAGCCATGCCACTCAAGGTCTCTAACCGTCGGCTGCTATCATCTCGTGGCCCCCAACCAGTTAGTCTACACCTACCAACATGGCTCAGTCCACTTGTCAGTGATTTCATGGATTTGTGCCATGTTTTGGTCTAGTCACCCCTAGCTTTCTCCCAACCTAATCGTACATCATAAAACATCGCACGCCGGGGCAGTAGGTGGTTGGGCATACATAACACATGTCACAGACATCCCAACTGATGAAGTTTCACTACTTCATCAATCGATTTGCCATCCTCACCTAGCACCCGTTTCCTACAACCGCATTACTTACTCGGTGATCCGAGGATATACGAGCAATGCTTCGAAGACTCCTATAATCGAATACTAGTAACCTATGAATATCCTCTACTCTTACCGGCCATGTTTCACTGTCATAAAGTAGGACGGAACGAACTGGTGCACAGTAAACCCGTCCTTTTGGTTGATAGACGGATATCTCGCCTACGCCATAAATGACACAAGTTGGCAAAAGCTAGACAAGCCTCCTGTATCCGTGCCGAAATTTCGTCAAACATCAGACCACAAGATCTGATTAGACTCCCAAGATAAGTGAAGCGGTTTACACGCTCGACTACTTCACTCCCTATCAGTTCGGGTGTCGATGTATATGCCTGGTCCTGCGTTGTAACTAACTGAATGACTGAGAGGTCAATAGTGATCTGAATCTATTCACGATGAGAACACTGGAGCGTCCTTTAAATTGTTTCTAATAATCTAACGCTTTTAATCATATTAACCGAGTCGCTTACCCTAACCAACTAGTATAGTGAAGTAGCATAATGAGTGATTATAAGAAATTCTAAAATGTTACTTTTTATTGTTAAATATTACACACAGTTAAATACGCTTAGAAAAATAAAAACTCGAAAAAGGCTTACATACATTGCTGCACCATCTCCAAGTTGACCAGCAAAACTACCAAATTGATACCCACAATAACAATGAGCTGTGGGATCACTACCAGGCCATAATTTGTTTCCTGACAAATATTCAACTAGATGATTTGTTTCTCCTGTTTTCTCTATACATTTTTGTTCATTAAGATGGTTAACTTCATGACGAATATTTAGCAAACTAAGTGCATCAAGAGAAAATAAAACTACACGGGGATTGTGTATTCTGGTTGGACTGACACGTGTGAAACAAGCATTCGGTACAGATCGTATACTATTGGATCCATTGTCGATCGGTAGACATTTCAATTGGATATTATCGAACTGTGGACAATGTTTTGACCACGATGATCTCTCGGACAAGGAACATGTATTAAATAGCATATGAGTTTCTTTATTAATAGTATTTGAAAAGAGACCAAGAAACGTTATGTTAAAACATTGTCCCACTAACTTCTAAAACACCATATAGAATATCAACAGAATATTCGCTTTCATAAAAATGCATAATAATATTTATTTCGTGATGCAAAAAAATGAATAAAACAAATAACAAAAAAGTTTATATGAATGTGTCACGTTGTGCATCAAGGTGAGATGAATATACGAGACAACAAAGTGATAAAAAAGCCAACATGAACACGAGTAGATATAAAGCGAAGCTGTAGTAACTGTCCACCATCAAGAGACAACGGTTCGTCATGTAATAAATCACGATACTGCAAAGATGTCCGGACCCAATTAGAAAAAACGATATTTTCGGACAAAAGTCAGTTAATTAGATCGCAGGACCATAACCCATAAAATAGTAATATGGTTTGATGCGATTGACGTGCTTCCTCTGACTAATTAGTGCAGTATGGAACTGAATGTAAACACCAATTGAGCCCAATAAACCTAGTAAACATTCATATACTCCGCTTTGTGTCACAATTTCTGTGTTAGAACTGGTAATACTATTCGACTACCTTTATGAGTTGGTACGGATAAATTTAAAACCACGGATCCAATATTTGAAGATCCAGTGGATTACCTATCAAGCTATCGATATAAAACCAACTACTATGGAATATTAAAACCTAAAACGGGCTGCTATTTGGTATCGTTATGAATACTTCAAAACAACAAATGAGTCTTATTGCAAAATTAGGACATAATTTATCAGCCATTTAAGACGAAAAGTTAACCTGTCTGAAAGAGATAGTGAGCTGTTGGGAAGGTTTCAAGAAGCAGTAGCTGAACAGATTCCCGAAACCTCAAACACGGTCTATGATGAGACTGGACAAAATAAACTTATTCATTCCGTTAGAGGTGGTAATCACGGTCTTCAAACTACTCAACAATAATTCTATATCAGACGTGGCATCATGTTTCTTGTCGATCAAAATTTACAATACTCTAAAAAATTAGTGATCCCGGGACTAAATAGTAGTCACTTGAGTTCAAACTTTCCCATCAAACCATCAGCAGGTAGAAATCAGTTTATGATGTGGTGGAAGCATCATCTATCAACGCATTCGAAATAAAATCGGACCAGGGTCCCCATCTTCAGGACTAGAAAAATGCATATGAACTCCTAACCCATCCGAATTCTCACTAAATGTTATCTTATCTTAGTGATATTTTTGCTGTACCAAACCTGCTGATTTTGAGGTTTTCCCTCAGTTTTTGGGGAATTTCTCAAGACTTGGGGAAATTTTTAGGGATTTTGTGTCATTCCTCCAAAATTGTCTATAACGGCTTTACCAAAATTTCCCTCAGACAAATTTTTTCCAAAAAATTGGAAGTCATAACCCTCTATACGTAAAGTGCAGAGATTTGCTTTTGTGACAAAATCAACCTGTTGATTTATTTTCGGTCTAATCCTACTACGCTACAAATAGACAGAGCCTGGTAGTATTGTTTCTCGAGCAGTGTTATCGGACATTCGTAGACAAAGGACATTTCACAATCTCCCAATTTTTGGGAAAACTCGACTTGTTTTGGGGAAGCCGTTATAGAACATTCTGGAGAAATAGCACCAAAATCCCAGAATTTATTCAGAACTGGGGAACTTCCCTAACATTTCGGGTTTTCCCCAATATCCCCCAAAACTTAAAGGAAGGCCATTGGACTTTGTGGATTTCCCCAAACGGGAGATTAATCTCCCAATTGGTCCCTCCTTCATAAAAGCTTTCAGGAAGTAGGACATGAGTGAAACTGAAACTGTATAAGCCATTTTTCCTGCTATTAACATAGTGAGTGCATTTCACTGATTCCTCCATAAAACATAGCACTGCAATACTAACCTTTTGGGTATAGACATGAAAGAGAAGTCTCGTATTCCGGAATTGACTTGTAGCACGGTATGCTGTGTGATGCATTCACCTGTACTTCCCTCGAAGCCAGTGGACGTAGACCTGACTAACGACCTTCAGCGGCTCTCAGTTACGATACTAAACTACGAAGATCGAATAGTTTCGACATAGTTGGAGGACAGTAAAATGGCAACGCTTCAGAGGTATCGTCCGCTGACGAAGGTTGCGAGCACGTGAAGGTCAAATGGTCGCAAGATGATTGATGCGTCACATCGACAATTCATGAAGTTTTTCAGAAGCGGTCAGATCAACACATTTCTAGATTTGGATTGAGTTCAGACGCACCATGTGTGATAACGTCCATCCTTCAAGTAACGAAGAAGATACCATCGTGATGATGCATAACGTCGGACCAATCTTCAATGATATTATGTTATTTCGTCGATTTACAAGTTGAGACAATTTTGAGACCTATTTGAAGGAAGTACTTAAGCTAATATGACTTCTCTGGTTAATAATTATTTTTGTAGGATACGCATACTAAGTAAGTATGTCAGTATTGTCTGGTTCACTAAAAACACTCGCCGTTTTGTTCCAACGACCTTGAACGCTAAAATATGAGGCGCCCATTCAAATAATTCGAATTCAAATTTGTGTAGCAAGGACAGAAGGCCTACGGCCTATGTTATTCTTCCTTTTAGTGTGCTGTTACGAATGTCCAGTCTTCATTTGAATGAGTCAATTGAAGGTGCGGACATCAATGTTTAAGATAACAGATTCGAAGTATTGATGACTTGGTGTGAAAACCTGTACGCCACGGGTATTTTGTTCTTTCTTAGCTTTTCTACTCGCCTGCTATGTCCTCTGGGATGTCTCGATCTAATGGGAAGAAAGAGAGAGAATAAGTTAGGTCGAAAATCATTCGCCAGTTTTCTGTACATCAAAATTAAATCTCCCTTAGTCTGCGATGGGATAGAGTAAAGAGTTTCAACTTTTCAAAACGCTCTTTGTATAGATCTGGCGATATAGATCACCATCACCTCCATTCAGGAACCTAGGTATATTATCGGCAAAGAGGGAAAAGAAAAAAGCCAAACCATATTAAGATACTATATTTAGTCCTTAAGAATATGCCAAGCTTTCTTTTAACAGACTCCTGGGAAGTCGCTTGGACTACCTCAGCTGACAGTGAATTCCAGCATTTGGTTACCCTTAAGGAATGGAAAGTGTATCTTGTAGTCTCCAGTTCCTGGGTGTTACCTCTGAGTTTTGTGATGGAAATAAGTTTAAGTAGGTGTTTGAGGGAATATTCAAAAGTATATAAGATGCTGTGAGCCATTGGGAGGTCACTACTAAGATTTTTATACTCTAGTAGTAGAGTTTTAGTGATTGAGGTGCTCTTTATAAGACTTGAATCTGAGTAACCAAACCGATTTCGTGGCTTGTGTTTTATTCAGCTATCCGTTGGGTTACATGGATTTCAAGTGTTCTCATATTTAAGTAGTCTTTTACTTAAAAAAACTCAAAATCATTGCGAAAAACACAAACTAGGCTTTCTCTTATTTGTAGTGTATACATTAACTCGAGTTTTATTTTGTAACTTGATCTGGTATACCGATTGCTCAGCTAACCCCCACTGTCTTTGTCTAAAAGTAGATAGGGTCATGAATACAGCATATTAAGAATAACTTAATAGTTCTGGACACGAAAAGGTTACATGAATCTCTGTTTTACGCGAGAATTAAGACGAAGAGTTCTAAATGTTAGCAATACTTTCTTCAGTTATTGAAGTATTGCAATGAATAACTTCTTTTACAATCGTCCAGTTCCGTTTGTAATGCTTCAAGTTCAAGAGATATTTCAGCCGATGTAAGCGTGGCGTTTCGACGTATAATACTAATCAAGCGTTTCAGAAGCTGGACTGAATTCGATAGTGTTCTGAATGAGTTCCAGAAAGTGGGGAGAAATTTTTATCCTTTTTCAGGCAATCCATAATCACCACGTCCAAGTCAAAGGTAAATTGATGAACGACATGAGGTTTCAATTCATGCTCATGGTGTATCAGTACACTTTCGATGATCAGCGTAAACCACAAGGTCTAACAGTGAGTCAAGACCATGAGAACTTTGCGTGACATGTGACTGCAGCGGTAAAAAGATCCCCAAAATAAATAGCTCTGTAAGTTTTCGACATTGGATGCTGACCACATGTTTTAATAGACTCGTCTAGTTGAAGGCGCTCGGTCAGGCATCCGCACCAGATCACGTGTGGCAACGCCGTGCTCAACATCTACCGCGATCGCTAGCCAGATTAGATCAGAGAATTCCGATATAATGGTAATCGCCAAATACACTCTTCCGATCTCCTCAAATCTGTCTTTTGATTTCTCTGGGTGGGAACGAATTATATTAGAAGGTGTTACTGGTAGAAGCGTTGTCAAACACTGAATACCTGTGTCGTCTTCATTGGTGAGATCGACGTGATCTGGTACACCTAATTGCAACTGCGAGTCCGTTCCTTTTTGGGATTTATATATACTATTAACTTATTTTTTATTTTTTTATACATCGTGATATTTTTTCCTCGTGTTTTAATATATCTATATATTAGTCCCTCGTATTCTCGTACCTAGTATTCCCCTATGACCGAACAGACTCCTAAATTATTTTAGATTAAAACCATGTCCCCACCCCCGTTCCAACTCATGCCCTTCTGGCCCGACAATATCGAAGCATGGTTCTGTTACACAGAAGCCGACTTCGACGAGCATGGCGTGAACGACACACGTGCAGAATTCCTAGCAGCAGTCAAGGCACTACCGTGGGAATTCAACAGGTACGTAACACCTAGTATGTTTACTAGTGATGTTTCCGAACCTTACGAAACCTTAAAACGTTCGATTCTTAAACGAGGTGACCTAACCGATCGACAAAGTTTAGATCAACTCTTTAATAATTTAGACCTGCAGCACGGTTCTGCGACGGACATGTTGCAAAGAATGAGAGAGGTTATTGGCCTAAGAACTTTCGACGAAGGTCTATCCAAACAACTCTTCTTGCCTAAACTTCCTCAACAGGTGCAAGCTGTGCTAGTCTCGTTTCAAAACAACACGTTAGACGAGCTGGCTGCATCTGCCGACCGCATTTTAGAAATTACGAAACCTTCTACTACAGAGGTATTTTCAGTCAAAGAAAAGCCTCAAACGACTCAGAATGACATAACCGAGTTATGTCATACACTTACACATAATTAATTTTCGTAACGACCGTAAGCGTTCACACACACTACGTAGAAGCACTTCACGCAAGCGATCTGTCTGTAGACCACGAGAGACAGATAATCCCGACTGGTGCTGGTATCACAACCAGTATGGAAAGTCTTACAGAAATTGCAGAAAACCCTGCAATTTTCCCAACGCGAAACCGAGTGACTCGAAAAACAACTCGGGAAACTTCCAAGCCGGCACGCGTTAACGGCAACCGTGACCGGCAAACATAGCCGTCTGTTATACGTCACAGATGTGACAACGAGAGTTCGCTGCCTCGTCGACACTGGCGCAGAAGATAGCGTTCTTCCAGCAAATCCTAATGACCGACTACACGAATCGACCCTAAACTTACAGGCGGCAAACGGAAAACCGATCGCTACGTATGGCAAAAGGTACGTTTACCTTAACGTGGGTTTAGGCAAACCCATTCACTGGATTTTCGTTGTTGCAGATGTTTCTATGTCAATCATTGGTATGGACCTTCTACAACACCACAATCTGATCATCGACACGCGCAAATGGAGGCTAGCAGACGGAAACATCAATTTTTCCGTTTGCGTAACCTCCTTTTCTGGTTGCAGATTATCCCCAGTTACAAGTAATCATATGATAGACCTGTAACAGCTAAGTTTGGTTGGTTAAGACTTGACCCCAAACAACCAAGCATATGCCAAAACAGTATTGTTCAACTATCCATTCACTTCCTTATTTTTTATAAGCGTTGTATTCCCTATTATCTTATATTGAATGTTGAGAGCCTTTGTTTGTCTGAACAGATAATCCCAGGCTCCACTGTGACTGCGCGAAGATCGAAATAAAGACCTATTCACTACTTCTCTGGTTTCTTCTATCAATAGCACGAGGGTTACCTTAAAGCACGAAACTGGTGAGACCTTTTTGAACACAAATTTAACCTCATTTCTGTTATTAAAATTTTTTTTACTTAATCGTAAAAGTAGACCTGATTATCCGTAAACTAAGTTGAGTATATAACTAGTTTATTCCGTATTATCTTAAGTTATTCGTGTTATAGTAACCACTTTTTGTGCTAACTTTATTGCTATATTTGTCACATACCTCATGTCAGACTCAATAGAAACCCATAATCTAGAGGATTTGTCACCAGTGGAGATAGACACTGTTATGACTACGAAACCCCGACTTCCAGAATTTGATCGTAGTGATCCTGAGTTGTGGTTTGCTCAACTAGAGCATTATTTCACTAGACACAATATCAAATCTGAAGGGATTCGCTATAGAGACTTGTGTTCTATCCTTCCTCCTTCAGTCGACAAAGAAGTCCGTGACTTGATTTTAAGTCCACCATCACCACAACCATACACCATCTTAAGACGAGAGATGATGAACCGTTTATCATTATCAGATAGTCAAAGAATCCAAAGACTTTTTCAAGGTGAAACACTAGGTGATTGGTCGCCTTCACAGTTTTTACGTCACCTCCAAGTCTTAGTGGGTGATAACACAGTGGGTAAAGCAGTCCTAAAACAAGGATGGATACAAGCTCTCCCATGCTACGTCCAACACTGTTTGGATGCACAGGATCCTGAAACCTCATTATCTCATTTAGCGCGTATAGCCGACAGAATAATGGAAAGAGGTCCTCCAACTGGATCAGGCACAATAAATCACACACAAAAAGTAGAATCAGCAAACGACCCGGTCATAGAAGGACTCATTGCGAGTGTTAAGAGTCTCACTGAGGCTGTCACCAGAATGCAAATGAGTCATAGAAACAGGAGCAGGTGCCACAACGACCACGATCCAAATCACAAAACAGGTCAAAAATATCCATACAATCTGGGCAGTTTTGTTGGTACCACTGGAAGTTTGGTGTCAACTCAACCAAGTGCATGCAACCATGCACCTGGACTAAACATAATTCCAAAACAGCGGGAAACGAGTAACCTCTCCTCAGGTCACGACGACTGAGGAGGGGCGCCTAAACAGTCGCTTGTTTTATGTTAGAGACAGAAACTCTGGCTTGAATTTCTTGGTGGATACTGGCGCTGCTCTTAGTATCATCCCTCAAAATAAAACTGAGATTAGTCGAGAAACATCATCAATTACACTTCAAGCTGCAAATAAAACTAAAATTGCGACATTTGGGCAGAAAACTTTAACCCTAGATTTGGGGTTCAGGAGGCAATTCCCTTGGGTTTTCACGGTAGCCGACTTAGATCTGGCAATACTGGGGATGGACTTTCTAGAGAGATACGAATTTCTAGTTGACACCAAGAAACGGCGATTAACACTAAAAGAAACTTCGTATTACACAAAAGGCAAAGAAAGTCACATCAGCTCTCTTAACTTGATTCAAACTCCCCCAGTAACAACAGCGAAATTCCAAGATATACTCGCGGAATTTCCAAACTTAACTAAACCAAACCCACAGCCTTCCAAAGACAAACTAAAAGTAAGTCACACTATCAAAACCGAAGGTGCACCGGTTTTCGCAAAACCCAGGAGACTAGCACCAGATAAGCTCAAAATCGCTAGGGCCGAGTTTGATTATATGCTACAATTGGGTATTATCCGTCCCTCTGATAGTCAATGGGCATCCCCTTTGCATATGGTCCCAAAGAAGAATGAAGGTGACTGGCGACCGTGCGGGGATTACAGAGCCCTCAACCGTCAAACCGTGCCAGATAGGTACCCAATACCTCATATCCAAGATTTCACAAACGGTTTACAGGGTATGAACATATTCACTAAAATTGACTTAGTCAGGGCATATCACAATATCCCGGTGGCTGATGAAGATATTCCCAAGACAGCTATTACAACACTTTTTGGCTTATTCGAGTTTGTACGCATGCCATTCAGCCTGAGAAATGCGGCAGATACATTTCAAAGATTCATAGATAACCTACTTCGAGATATGCCATTTGTGCAGGGGTATATAGACGACTTGTTAATTGCCAGCCCCGACTTGCAATCACACGAACAGCATGTACAGGCAGTTTTGAAAAGACTGGATGAACATGGAATAAACATACATCAAAGTAAGTGTGTTTTCGGTGTTCAAGCTTTAGAATTTCTCGGTCACACAATAAGCCCAGAAGGGATTAAACAGATCAAAAAAGAAGTAGACACCATCAAACAGTACCCCATACCTAGTTCTCCAACACAACTGAGAAGTTTTCTAGGTCTAATTAACTTTTATCTCAGATTCATACCAGGTTGTGCACAATTAATGCAACCTTTGACAGATTCGCTCAAATGAAAACCGAAAGAATTCAAACTGTCTTCTGACGCCATCGAAGCTATTAAACAGCTTAAAGATAAACTGGCTCAAGCAACTAAGTTGATAGATCCGAATTCTCTTTCCCCACTTGCTTTGATGGTGGATGCTTCAGATAAAGCAGTAGGCGGTACCCTTAACCAACTGGTTAAAAACGCCTGGAAACCAATTGCTTTCTTCTCGAAAAGACTCGCTCCAGCAGAGACAAGGTATTCTACCTTCGGGTGAGAACTTCTTGCAATCTACCTAACCATTAAACACTTCCGACACATGTTAGAAGGCAGGGAATTTATAGTCTTTACGGATCACAAACCACTAACGAATGCACTAAAAGCGAGAGCTGATAAACACTCACCTCGAGAAGTCCGACACCTTGACTATATATCACAGTTCACAAGCGATATCCGACATGTCAAAGGTCAGGACAATCAGGCGGCAGATGCTTTATCTAGGCTAGAAATGAACGTGCTACAGCAGTCAACAGCAAACTTCGAGACGTTGAGAAACGAACAAGAGCAGCATCTAGAATTACAAAACCTGCTTAAAACAAACAATTCAAGTCTTAATTTAAAACAGTTCCCATCACCTGTCGATGGTATTCTAATCTACTGTGACACGACCAAGGCAATGCCGCGACCTTTCGTTCCCAAAAGTATGCGAAAGTTGATATATAATAACTTTCATTCTTTGTCTCATCCTGGCGCGAAAGCTTCAACAAAACTAATCAATGCCAGATATATATGGCCGAATTTACAGAAGGATGTACACAAATGTATTAGAGAGTGTTCAGCATGTCAACAATCAAAGATTAATCGTCACACAAATTCACCCATAGGTGTTTTCTCGCAACCAGATGCACGTTTTGCCCATGTGCATATCGATTTGGTAGGTCCTTTACCACGGTCAAATGGTTTTAATTATCTTTTTACATCCATAGATCGATTTACCAGATTCCCTATAGCCATCCCGATAGCGGACATCACAGCGGAAACAGTAGCCAAAGTCTTCATGCAGAACTGGGTAACCATTTTTGGTACACCCATAACAATAACGACGGATAGAGCAGCGCAATTCGAATCCGAACTATTTAACAACTTGGCTAAACTTCTAGGCTCCAATAAGATACGCTGCACTGCATATCATCCTCAGGCTAATGGGATGGTAGAACGTTTTCACCGTCAGCTAAAAACCGCCCTTATATCTCACTCAAACCCCAATCAGTGGACAGAATTCCTACCGTTAGTTATGTTGGGAATACGAACATCTGTCAAAACTGACGCACAGTGTTCAGCTGCGGAACTGGTTTTCGGAACAACTCTGAGACTACCAGGTGAATTTATTAACCCTAATACTAACAGTCAAAAACTTAATTTAGAAAATTATGTAGATCAACTACGGAACCATATGTCAAGTATTTTTTTTGTTTTCATACCTTTTCGTACACAAGGTGGCTACACTATGTCTATTTTCTTCCGGAATACCAATCCTTTCTGGAGGCCAATCACTTACGTGGGACAATTATATTTATGTATTTCCATTTTGTATCTTATTATTTTTATGCGGGCAGTGGAGCAGTTCTTCAGGTTTGATTGGTTTTCACCATTACCTTTGAAGTAGATTCTTCTTTACTTTTTACTTGAGGGCGACTCAAGAGGCAGGTGAGTAAACACCTGGTAGCCGGTCTGAGCATGGAAAAATCGTACCTCACCAACATGGTGTTGGGTAGCCCGCTCGCGGCACTTCCTCAGATATTCTTATTCCACATTCTCACACTCTTTCTCTTGAAATCACGCGGCAAACCGTCAGCGATAGTTGTAGAATAGATCACATGCTACAAAATAAGATGACAAGCTATTAAATGAGGAGACATCCATGGACTATCGTTGACAGCGTTAGTCGTCACTGATTGTAAGTCAAATAGTGAGCGAGTTGATAATTTTCCCTTGGGATGAGAAATAGAACTAAGGTGTTTTCGATAGATAGGTTAATCGAACCGACGTTCCTACGGAAGTCGTTTCTAATGTAACAGTTAATGTAACAGCTCAGGTTGGTTGGTTAAGACTTGACCCCAAACAACCAAGCATATGCCAAAACAGTATTGTTCAACTATCCATTCACTTCCTTATTTTTTATAAGCGTTGTATTCCCTATTATCTTATATTGAATGTTGAGAGCCTTTGTTTGTCTGAACAGATAATCCCAGGCTCCACTGTGACTGCGCGAAGATCGAAATAAAGACCTATTCACTACTTCTCTGGTTTCTTCTATCAATAGCACGAGGGTTACCTTAAGGCACGAAAGACCCACTTTATCAGCCACTACTCGATAAGTACCCTGGAATACAACAAACTCAACCGAAACTACCGTGTGTAACCAGAAACGTTACATATCACATCACGACTACAGGACCACCTGTATTTTCTAAAGCACGACGACTAGCTCCCGAAAAGCTGGGGTTAGCGAAAAACGAGTTCGACTATATGATAGACTTAGGAACCATACGACCGTCAAACAGCCCATATGCATCTCTGTCGCACATGGTCGCCAAAAAGGATAGCAACGATTGGCGTCCAACTGGTGACTATCGGCGATTGAACGCGAAAACCATTCCCGATCGTTACCCGTTGCCTCACATTCACGATTTGACAGCTACTTTGAAAGGTACAACTGTTTATTAGAAAATCGACTTGGTTAAAGCGTATAATCAAATCCCTATGGCTACTGACGACATACCGAAAATCGCCATAATTACTCCTTTCGGACTCTATGAATTTTTGCGAATGCCTTTTGGTCTAAGAAACGCTGCTCAAACATTGCAAAGATTCATAGACGACGTCTATCGAGGTCTCAACTTCGTACACGCTTATGTTGACGACTGTCTAATCGCAAGTCCGGACAGAGAAACACATCTCAAGCATCTGGATCTTGTTTTCGAGCGACTACAAAAACACGGCATTACTGTAAGCGTTTAGAAATGCCAAATCGGGACCGACTCGTTAGAGTTTCTAGGACACACTATAGATGCTCAAAGCATTCGACTTCTTACGACCGAAGTGGCGGCCATTCTGGATTACCCAGAACCGACTACCGTCAAGCAATTACGAACGTTCAACGGCTTTGTAAGTTTCTATAGAAGCTTCATACCAAAGTGCGCATTACTTATGAAACCTCTTACCGACCAACTTCGTGGAAATGCAAAATCCATCAATCTGGACAACACTGCACGAAAAGCATTCCCCACAGTTAAGGAGCTGATCGCAAAAGCAACAATGCTTGCACATCAGGACACTGAAGCACGAATTAGCACATTCGGTAGGGAACTCCTAGCTATGTATTGTGCTGTACGACATTTTCAACACTACATCGAAGGTCGTGAATTTGTTGAATTATGGTCTACTATGATATTAGTACTGCTCTGATAATAGACCTAATCCTAAATATGTAGATTTGTCATGATATAACTGCCTAATCTATAAGATCTTACGTGGAAGTCACACCATCGACTACACCAACTCACTGTATCGTATCAATTACCAATACATGATGTAGTTTATTTATTTATTTATTTTTTATTTGAACACATAAATATTGGTACAAGAGAGCGCCAATATATATGCGCCACACAAAACAATGAGAATGCAAGGAGAAATAAAAAATCTAAGGAGCGCATAAGAAAAAGAGAACAATAACGAAGAGATTGGTGTAAGGTAATGTGGTGGTAACGAGGTACAATCAGAAGAAATCTTTCAAGTAAGGGAGACACAACCACTTTTTATGAAGTAAGTAAAAGAAGGTTACAGCAGGATCGCCACTGGCTTCTATTCTCAGCCATATCTGATAACATCTCTAGCCACTGTGTAGCACCATCTCTCAGACCCCAACCAGGGAGTCGTGAAGGACCAACAGAAGCCAGTCCTTTGCAGCTTTCTTTCATACCACGACACCATGTCATGCACTGACCACCTCTCCGCTTCTTCCAACCAGTCCCAGAGTCGGCAAATAATGCACGACGTGGAATTCTCTGGGACGACATTCGAAGAACATGTCCAAGCCACCGAAGTCGGTGTTTTAAGATGGTCACACCAATTGAATTATCATCTCTGTGCCCGAACACACGATGCCGAACCTCTGCATTACTGACATGGTGTTGCCACTGAATGTCAGCAATCCTTCGGAGACAGCGATGATCGAACACAGAGAGTCGTCTAACGTCCTCAACTCGGAGAGGCCAGGTTTCACAAGCATAGAGCAAAACTGCTCTCACCAACGCGTTGTAGATCTGATCTTTTACAGCCAGACTAACATCACGAAGGCGCCAAAGGTGGCCCAGATTGGCGTAAGCCGCTCTGGCTTTCACTATTCGTGCATTGATCTCATCACTCACACCCCCACCAGCACTTATGCAGCTACCCAGATACACGAACTTCTCAACTACGTCTATCTGCTCACCATCCAGGGTGAGTACAGGATTGGAATCCTGCCAGTCTTGTAGAAGTACTTTGCACTTCGAAGGTGCGAAGCACATACCATACCTACGGACACTGATTGTCAACTGATTAAGTGCGGATTGCATGCCTTGGGCATTATCGCACA